CACCCCTGTATAGGCAAAAGACTGAAATACCCTCGGATTTATCGAAAATTTACAAAAATGCCACTGGTAGATGGTTACTATTGATGCGTCGAATTTTTTTCAATGAGATTCTGGCCAAAAGATGGTTGCTTCTGGTAGATCTGAGGACGAAGATTCTGATGGTGGTGGTCTGGTTGGCCGTTGATAGCTGAGTAGGGAGAATCGACGACTTGAAGGTCGATTGGCCGATGACGGTCGTGGCCTTTTTCCGGCCAAAATCTCACGTGACAAAGTGTAACACGACTGGGGTTTTGCTTCAGTGGAGGCGATGCACGTTTCTGTGGTGTTTTCGCGGCTTGAAACGGCCGGTAATTGGGGGTCGACAGAGAGAGAGAGAATCGCCGACGAGAGGAGAGAGAAGCTCTGGGTTCTACTGCGGTGCAGACCAGTGTATGGTGCACTCGTGCATCTAAAGCCTGGAAGCCGTTGGATCTCAGATGAACAGATCTTGCGACTGTGATTGGTTTGATCTTCAAGTTGATCGGATGGTCAAGATTGATTGGGTTATGATCTGGTGTTTCACGATGTACCGAGTGTTTGGTACACCTACTAACGTGGCGCAACAGGATCAAAGGGAAGATTATTTTAAAGGCTGAGATTAATTTGGGTTTTAATCTAGTGTGGTAAAGCCTATTGTATCCTAAGAAATCAAAGGCTCAGATTTAAATACTATTAGATCAACGGTTGGGATATTTTTGGTATTTTTCAATTTGTTTTAAAAAAATCAATATCTCACTAGGGTGTGGAAAAAGTATAAAAAAAGGAATAGTCCAAATAGTAACACAAATAGTAATGTAAATAGTTTGTCAAATTCAGAATTCAGAATTCATTTCTTTCTCCCTCTCCTTTGTGTCTTGATTTCATTGGCTATTTATAGCCAATAAAAAGGGACAGCAAATCACAAGATTATGCAGGTAATCACGGGATTGTGCAAAATTTTCAACGTACAGCTGCACCACCTACCATCGGCAGAAATCCCCCGCCTACTATGACAAAATTGAATTATTTTTTTGTTTTATTATATATAATAATAATATTTATTTATAGGGGTAAAATTAAAAATTCAAATCAGTATTATAAAAAGCTTTTCATCAGCTAAAAATCAATGTTAATTACAAAAAAAAAAGATCTTTATACGGGTATCAACTCAGTGGACCAAGTTTTCTGACCAAAAATACCAGTTTTGACAAAAAATAGTTATTTATAGGGGTAAAATTAAAAATTCAAATCAATATTATAAAAAGCTTTTCATCCGCTAAAAATCAATGTTAATTACCAAAAAAAAATCTTTATACGGGTATCAACTCGGTGGACCGGGTTTTTTGACCAAAAATACCAGTTTTGACCAAAAATATTTATTTATAGGGGTAAAATTAAAAATTCAAATTAGTATTATAAAAAGCTTTTCATCCGCTAAAAATCAATGTTAATTACAAAAAAAAATCTTTATACGAGTATCAAATCGGTGGACCAGGTTTTTTGACCAAAAATACCAGTTTTGATAAAAAATAGTCTGAAACTCATTTTTTTATCGCGGTCGACATGGTGGGACCCTTATTGACCTGGTGCGCTTGGTTTTCACCGAAAATGACAGTTTTGACCCGAAACAGTCCAAAACTCATTTTTCATCCCGGTCGACATGGTGGGACCCGTATTGACCCGGTGAACTTGATTTTAACCGAAAATGATGGTTTTGACCCAAAACGGCCCAAAACTCATTTTTTATCCCAGTCGACATCGTTTAACCCTTATTGACCTGGTGGACTCTATTTTGGTAGAAAGATGCGGTTGACTCAAGAAAATATATTTTAAACTTTTTTTTCTTCTTTTTTTTATTATATTTTTTTTTTATGAATAATAAGATAAAATAACATTCAAAAAATTTTAGTGAATCTAAAATTAGGTTACAACAATAATAACCATTTTTTCTTATCTTTACGAGACTCAATTAAAAAGTTATTATAAAATTAAAAATTAAATTAAATAAATTAGATCTAAAAATAGTCTAGCGTGATCAATGCATGTCCTAGCATGTGAGGAGAGCCACCAAGTTCGGATGGTGCATATGAGCTCCTCCTACCTTTAAAGATGAGCTTTCCTTGTCATAATGTTATTATAACAACCATTTTTTCTTATCTTTTTTTTTTCTCTCTCACTTTTTATCTTGAATTATGCAATTGATTTTTTGTTCTTCTTTTAAGGATGTTTTTTTCCTAATTGTCAATTGCAATCCCTCTACTTGTAATATCTTCGATCCATACGCATCGTATATCCCTTTTTGTTTCTTTGATTAGACTATCCACTTAGCACGTCATCTAATTTAGATAAGGCCAAGGACTGTTCTTAATTTCATTATAATATTAAGGTATACAAGAATATAATAATAATAATAATAATTTTTTAAAATATTTTTTATTTAAAAATATATAAAAATAATTATATTGAGAGGAAAATGTAGTGGTTCACCTTTGAGTAATTAATGATATTTTATTAATAATTTTTTGAATTTATATTTTTTAAAAATATAAATATAATAAAAAGATTTTTAAAAAATAACAGTACAATGAAAAATATAAAATAAAATAGAGAATGCAAAAAAAGAATAAAAATATTTTTATTTATGATTTTTATTCTTTATATTTTTATATTTTTAAGTGAATATCAAAAAGTAACTAATAAAATTGCTCTTTCCGCCCCATAAAAGTATTTCTCAATGTTATAATTTAATTTTGGTTCATTGAAATTGACTTTTAATTTAATTTTATAAGATTTAAAATATAAAATTAAAATATTAAAAAATTATTTTAATGAAAAATATGATTTAAAATTAAGAATTATAATGTATTTTTTTATTCTATTTTTATTTTTAAGATAATTCTTATTGTCAAGATAATTTTTGAAGATAATGATAATTGGAATTTAATTTTAATTCGAACGTTAAAAAAAAAAGTATGATTAAGATTTTAAAAAACCGAGACAGGGGAGAACTACTGAGAGCAAATTCACATAAAAAAAAGAGGCAGAACCGGGGGGCGTGAAAAAACTAAAATAGAGGAGAGGAAGCCGTGTTGGTGGAACGGCCCTTCCACACCCTCATCTTCGATTGCAAGCAGCAGATTCCAGGAACAGAGGAGGAAGAGACTGGACTAGAGAGGAAGAGAGGACTACAGAAAATAGTGAGCATAAAAGTAAGGAGGAGATAAGCAGAAGGAAAGAACAACATAAACGTTGTCCAGGCACGCCATTACCATCGTCTTCGACATAGTCTCCCCGCATCAAGTAAGTACTTTCTCATTCCCTGCTTTCCTTTTTGTTATAATTTGCTTTGCTAGAGTAGCTGTGAATTATAATTCACTTTAGAAGTCATTTGTTCTTGTATCAGGCGAGCGCTTTCATGCACACCTGCTTCTTAGATCGGGCTGGGCTGCTGGGCCTAGCCCAAAAATGTAAATAAAAAAGAAAAATTAATAAAATAATAAAAATTATGTATGTTAAAAAAATATATAAATATAAATTTATATTTTTTATTTGTTGACGATAGAGTTAGAATAAAAATATTAATTTAAATTTATTTTATTGTATTTTATTTAGTTATATATAAATAAAAATATACATAAAAAATATACATAAAAAATAAAATAAAAAAATTTATTAATTTATTCGCTTACACTTTATCTACTAACAGTAGGAGCTTTAGTACGGGTCCTGCCGTCCGAGACTCACCTTCGACATCTAAATCAACCCCCAGTATTGCTGTCTTATTTTATTTTACTTTTTTTGTCAGGGGTGATGTCTAAATCAAACCCTAATATCACTGTTTAACCCTTTTTTTTTGTTTTCAGGGATGTTTGCATTGTCAAGATGTTTGTAAATTTGAGTGGAGTTATTTTTTAAAATAAATTTTGTTAAAAATTATATTATAATAATATTTAAAAAAAATTATTTTTGATATTAATAAAAAATAAATTTTTCACAAAAGTAATGAAAAACAGGTTATATCGCAACCCAAAGACCCCTAGTATAGTTTTTCACAAAAGTCTCTTGGAGAGGATAAAGAAAAGAAATAAAAAAGGAAATGGTGAAAAAAGTTGAGGAATATTTTAGTTGTTTCATATATGAATTATGTGTTTACCTTTAATATAACACATAATTTATGAAAAAATTAAGATAAAATATTGCCCTAAGTAATTTTCTCAATACAAAATTAAAGAGTTAATTATACAGCTTCTAGCAGTGCATCTTCTAAAACTAAAAATATAAACAAACAATTTAAAGGGTTTAGATATATTAAAAAATCATTTTAATTTAATAATTTTAAAATATAATTTATATTATTTTATGATACTATAATATAATTCCTTTTGCTGAACCCTTTAAATTTTTTTTTATATTGTTAAAACGAGTATAATTACTCGTTTAAAGGGATAGTGCAACCCTTAATTTTAAGATTGCGTTGGTGAAAACAATGCTACCTATTGAATTTTAGACTGCGTTGTTTCCATTAAAATAATTAAAATTCAATAAGTTATATTAAAGGAATATCTCGATAGCTTTGATAATTATTTTGTAGGGGGTAAAAAATATTATGATTACACTATTTTTTATTTTTTAAATTTAAATAAAAACCTTCAGATTTTGCATGGTTTATTTTATTTTTTATTTAATTTCTTTCATGTAATTAAACATGAATTAACCAACTAATGAAAATAGTGTTTATTTTTACAGTCAAACAATATTTTTAAAAACTTTTAAAGAATTTTTTTAATTTTTTTTATGTTTTTAAAACATTTTAATAATACTAATATTAAAAATAACTTTTTTAAAAAATAATTTAATATATTTTTAAATAAAAATCACTTTAAAAAACAACAATTATCTTAATACTAAACACTATAATACACCTATGCTATGACTTCTGTCAAGTCATATACAGCTTATTATTTGAAGATATTTATTTAATTCTATACAAAGTGAGACTCATTTCAGTTGTAAGATTGTGACTCTGAGGACTATTAATGGACATCCGTACATGTTAGGATCATTATTAATGATCACGATACATATCCTGGGCAGATGAAGATGAAGGACCATCCCATGTTCTATCTGATGAACGCACGAGGGACTGAGTTTCGTCGATACTCAGGACTGAAGATTGATCAGAGTTGCCTTGGAAACTCTTAAACCTCAATGAATCGCCGAATGTACTTGGATCCACGACTAATTCCTGAACATCACCCTTTCCTTCAAGCATTCTTACTACGGCAGACATTGTAGGTCTTAGTGCGGGAGATTGGTTTGTGCATAGCAGTGTTACTTTAATCATCCTAGCTGCTTCTTTCTTCTTGAAGTCAGAACCTAATCTTGGATCAACAAGCTCCATTATGTCTCCATTTTGTTGTAAACTCAACGCCTGAAATAAACCATAAGGCAAAAGTAAAACAGACATGTAGCTGTTTTACTGTCTAATGTTCCAGAACCCCGTTATTGATTAATAATATGGTTGTAGTTCTTTTTTAAAGTGTTTTTGATTTTGAAATGTATTAAAATAATATTTTTTTATTTGTAAAACATTATTTTTTATATTAGTATAATAAAATCATCTAAAAACATCCAAAAAAAATATTAATTTGAAGAAAATAAATTAAAAAGACAAACAGAGATAACTTTACTGTATGAAATTTTTAGCGGTGAATTAGTGTTAAGGTGTTTCTCAGAAGTATTCTGTCTTCTAAGATAGAATATAACCACTCGGTTTCGGCTTTATATAGAGAAGATGTCAGGCTTGAAGCAGCCCAACCTAGTCTGCTTTGGGGCTTCAGTTGCCCGCAAGGAGTAAATGGATATGACACAACTTACCCAATCTAGGAGGCATACGAAACTTTCATTATGTTGGAAACTCATGTTGCTCATCCCAGCAACAATTTCCAGTGCGACAATACCGAAACTGTAAACATCTGCCTTGGAGGTCAAGCGACCATATAAAGCATATTCTGGTGCCATGTATCCCCTGCACAGAAAGAATAACACCACAACCTTAGCAAAAACAGTAAACAATGCTAAATTTGGAGCAACTCACTTGTAATACTACTGACTCTGTCAAGAATAATACCCATCTATATCATAATTATTGTATTATAATTGGTCTACAGGAGCAGTCACATATCAGTTTTGTTTAACCGAATGCCTTGAAAAAGAATAGCTGCAGCACTTGTAAAACTATGTGAAAAGGCTAGCTGGATAGGAAATGAGATACCAGAAACTCACATTGTTCCAGCAACTCTGGTGGAGATATGGGTGTTGTCCTCCTCGTCAAGCTTTGCCATGCCAAAATCAGATATTTTGGCATTCATGTTCCCGTCAAGGAGAACATTGGTAGTTTTTACGTCTCTATGAACAATTTTGAGTGTGGACTCCTCATGCAGGAAAGCTAGACCTTTTGCTATATCAACACAAATCCTCTGCCTTGTAGGCCAGTCTAGATTTAGCTGGCCCTCCTTTTTGCCTGTAATCAGTATGCACAGCCCAACCAATCAAATTTTTTACCTTAATTCTTTCTGTATGCCATTCAATGTCCTTTTGTTTCTTAAATCAATTTATAAAAGCTACTACTTCAAGGAAATGAGCATAGCCTACCGTACAAAACATGTGCAAGGCTATTGTTTTCCATGTATTCATAAACCAGTAGTAGTTCCTTCCCATTGATGCAACATCCATACAATCTAACAAGATTTGGGTGTTGCAATGCAGAAATCATGCCTATTTCGTTCACAAATTCACGATTTCCTTGCTTTGATTTTGCTGATAGCTGCTTAACCGCAATCATAGTACCATCTGATAGTACTCCCTGAAATCAGAATCATTTAGGTCAATTTTCCATGGTATGGAATGGAAGGAAAAAGAAAGTAATCAATAAGTAGCTACATGAAAGACAAGGCTGTAATTACTTTGTAGACAGCGCCAAAACCACCTTCTCCAAGTTTGTTTGCTGGATCAAAGTCATTTGTTGCAGCTTTGATTTGTTCGAAGGTAAAGATACCAGTTAGCAGATCTAGCCCAACAAGTTCTGCCCAAGGAACGAGGAGGATAAGGTGTGCCCCACAAATGATTCATAAGAAAAAAACTAACTTGTAAAAAACATGTCATTTGTATGACGATGAGAGACTAAAATGATACAGTTCAGATCTTAGATGTGCCAACTTCTCATCTCTAACCGCTTAACATGAGCCTTATTCCAAGTTGAAAAGGACAAGCATGTGACAAAAAACCATTATATCATGAACAAACAATTTCACATAATCATCACGGTGGAAGGGAAGAAAACATGTGCTTTTTAACAATCATAGAGTACACACAATCTTGAGGTTGGGAATTCTCATTGTTGAATGTATGTGGTAGTAGGCACACTAGAATTCACAAATCAAATTAATGTTCATAACAGTACCTTGATCCCTTGATTTCCTTCCTCCCAGATAACCTTTCCACCAAAGCACGGATAGAAGTATGAAAATGAGGAACAACAGCAAAACCACAGACCCAGCCACAATGAGCTTCTTCCTCTTGCCTTTCGTAGGAGGCTTGAATTCTATGTAGAAATAGGAACAATAAAAGCAATTAATGTCAGATTGTAGAGTTATTCACTACTATGCCACTTCGTTATATGCCAACATGCTCCATGTAGTATTGAATATTATATTAAAATTTACAATATAAGAGGTATGACTTACCAGATTCTATATCAATGGCCGATATTAGTGGACCGTATATTCCAATTTTCGGTGACGTTGTTGTCCCTTTCCCAGCCCAATGAAGGCGGATCTCTAAAGCTCTATCTGTAACTTTCGCTGTAGAATTATGAATGTATACCTTATCTACCCCTTGTGCTGCCTTTTCAATATCAAAATCCTTCAACACAATTCTGTCCTGCAGGAACAATTCTTCAGTCAATTCATTTCCAATTAAATAAGGAATTAATGTGTGATCTTTAATACCTGAATATAAACATCAAATATCCGTCTTCCAAGACTATAGAAGGATCTGTTGTCCCTCATTACTATTTCAGCAAAGTGAAGCTTCACATTGTAATTCCCATTAACAAGACAACGCACGTGGTATGTGAGAGACAAAGGAGTGAGGCGAGCTTTTGTGTACAGTTGAGAGTTGTTCATTCTTAGTATGGACATATTTTGTGCTATGTAGTCGTCTTCGGAAGGTTTAACATCCCAGACATGTCCTGTGGTACTTATTTGCCAAACCTCTCTTTTGGGTACATATTTTGTTGCGCCTCCTGGCTCATCATCTGCTTCATAGATGGTATTTCCAACGGTGGTTTCTGATCCGCCACAATTTATGTGCACCGAGTATTGATCTATATAGAATTGTGAAAATGTTTACTGTCATAAATATGAGCATTTAGAAAACAAGAAACAAATTTAACTTAATTTGGCACATCCAATCTAAGACTTATATCTTAATCTAATTATGAAGAAAAATAATTAACTAACGATATACTAACAGCACTAAAATTCTAACAAATCATTGGTCTTAATATTGGAGAGTTTTAACAATATCAGAACTCTTGCAAACTCTAATTCCTATGAACATAAATACAAAACAAGAGGAGCACATGTATCATAAATTTGAAGCAGAAGCAAGAGTACCTTTTGAACAATAATCACTGAGACACTCGACAGGCTTCCTGGACAGATTGGTGAGAGAGAACCATCAGCTTATCTTAAAAATGAAGTGAAAAGGAGAAGAAAATGAAAGATATCTGTCTGAAGAGTTTAATGAAGTAGAAGCTTACGAGTAGTTCCCTCCCCAAGAACTTTTGAACAAATTTCTGGCGGACCAGCTCAGAAGTTATTTATAAGTCATGAAGTGAAAGCATATAAACAACAAACTCAATTAAAGGAAAGACAAGCAAAAGGAAGTCAATCTTACAGTGTTTCTTTACAATTAGTTGGCGTGGGGATTTCAGTGAAATTGTTGTAAGAAAGATCAAATTCACTGCATGCAAAGATGGCTTCTTTCAACATTGAGACAACTTTGCACAGATTTTTAGAAATTTTATTACAAAGTTATTGATAGTAACTTGAAAGATATTGCAATTGGAAATAGTTTGATTATCCATACATATCTGTACTGAAATCAATAAATTATGGGAATGATTGTCTGTTTATCAGTTGCCCATCAGTATGGTTCTTCAAAAGCTAGGATTACTTTTATGGCCACAGACAGATTAATCCTTCAAAATTATATAAATAATGGCCTAAATCTCTCCTTTTTTTATGCTTTCACAGACAAGGGAAAACTGCAAGTGCCAGTAAAATTTATCATTTCAGTCATTCGTATGACAAGGGAGAGAACATGGACTAAGCATAATTCTCAATATAATATGTATGCATTAAAATTATGTTGATAAAGGTAAATACATTATGAAATTTCTAACGTAATTCATATAGAAATTAAGAAAAATAACTTACTAGCGAGTATTTCTGTTCTGGATCCAGGGCGGGATGGGTCCGGAAAGCATGTTCCTTGTAACATACCTATGCAATAATAAAAAATTATCATTGGTTGAGCATCTAACAATGATTACTATAGCCAAATCCTGTCCCCAGACTAGACAAAATTTTGAAGCTTAGATGATGGCCTGGGACAATAAGCTTATCTTATGACTACTTATATGCTGTTTACAGCACAGTGGAGGCTGCTCATGCACCATAAGACACAGTAGCTAGCCATCCTCATGAATCTATTATACTTACATTTTCTCCAAGCTTATTAGGTCATCATAATCTGTTGGAAGATCTCCTTTCAATCTGTTGAAACTGAGATCCCTGTAACCAAAACAAAAGGTGCACATTGTTCTTAAATCTACGCTATGGAAGTTGACAAAAAAGTACAAATAATAACTAAATTAGCAATCTAAGGTCGGCAGCTCTAAGTATGCGTGAAATTCACATTTCAATCTTGATGTAGATGAATGAAAAACTAAGCATAAGAGATAATGAAGATTACAAAACTTTCAGTCGTTTCATTTCAGTCAAGTTTCTGGGAAAAGATCCTGACAAGTTGCAGTTGCTCAGCATCCTGCAGCATACATTTAATTCATGTAAGCTAAATACTGCGCTGTAAATATCCTGATATGAGAGCATCAACAGAGAGAATGACTCACAAATAGGTCATGTTTTGCATAGATTCTAGGTTTGGAAACTCCGAACCATCTCCAAGTAAGTTACTGATTCTTCTGGAAAACATCAACCGCAAATAAATGTGAGACTTTCATGTTTTTATAGTTGATGATTTTTCATTAACTATGACCCAGTAACACAACTTACAACTGAGTTAGACTGTTCAAGAGAGAAATGTTTAAAGGAATGGGCCCTGAGAAACCACCGGCCTGGATCTCTCTGTTAATGTAAAATAAAAAAGTCGATTAAGGTTCTGCTTCCAGAGCTGCAGTGATAAGATTGAATATTTGTGGTGGAAAAGAAGCACATACAATATATCAAGTTGTTTCCAGCTTTGAATAAAATCCGGTATTCTTCCAATGAAGTTATTACTGCTAAGCCTACTGCACTTATCCAACACAAAGACAGTCAAGAATTGTTTCTCTGGTATCAAATTCTATATCCAATAACATAACATAACTAACTATACAAGTTATAAAAACCTACAGATCCTTTAATTTCATCAAATTAGAGAGAGCCAGGGGTAGCTCTCCAGTCAAATTGTTGGCACTAAGAATGCTGCAATAACAAATGAGAGAAAAATTTAATGTCAGCTTTCTCTAATGGTATTTGCCACATGAAATTTAACATTCAATAACCAGAAATGTATCTCCAAGATGAAAGACTGAACACACTTACATAGTCTCCAGGTTAACCAAGTTTCCAAGCTCAGGGGGAACTATTCCAGAAAACATATTATTTTGATGGTTCCTGATGGAATGTGACCCGTCAGTATTGGAATTGTCTAAACATTTGAACAGTTTTAGGATAAAAAAGAACGATAAAATGACAAATACGAAACGCATACAAGTATCTGAGTGTGATGATCTTTCCCAGATAGCTAGGAATTGGTCCAGTTAAGCGGTTAACAGCAATAGACCTGCAGCGTATGCAACCTATTAATACAGGAAGAGTAAGCAATTCATTGGCTACAAAATTAAGAAAATGTAGTGTTTTCTTACAATATTTCCAGCTTTGTATTAGCCCATTCCGGTGGTATGTTACCACTCAGGTAGTTCGCCCACAGATCACTGCAACGTATATAGAATCTCTAATTGAATTGAATCATGTGTTCAAAATTCATAGTTGCTAAAATTTAAAAACACTAATTACAGATGCGTAAGGTAAGGTAGTTTCACAATAGATTTCGGGAGACTGCCAGCAAGATCCTGCCCTTTGAGAAATCTGCTTCACAAGAACACTTGGACATCAATTCCTCATTAAAAAGTAAAAAATCCAAACTCCAAATATAAAAAATCACCTTTCATAAAGAAAGAAAATACAAAATAATGGACCACAGACCTGAAAAATCTTTTGACATCTAGCAATACTAAAGCATAAACTTCTGAAAAGTGAACTAAACCAGTAATTTCAGATACTTTTACACATAACTCTCAAGGGTTTTGACCTTGTAGCTCAATACCATCATAACTTTGGAAAAATTCCAAGAAAACGGACATTGCTAGCATTAAAAATTCACCTATTAACAAACACTATTGATATATACCTTCTTGTTCCTCATTTTCAAACAAAATTGCTTAAAATTTAATCAATTAAAAAGGGAAAACATTCACTCAAACATAAACAAAACAAGCATGGACTATTAAGAGAAGTTGAAACGTACATGGAAACAATGTGGCACACACCCCCAAATGAGCAATTGCAAACAACATTATTATCAAACATTGGCCTTTGAGGTGAAGGTGGTGTTACCCAGCTTGTCTCATTGCTGCAAGGATCCACGCTATTATTCCAGTCTTTTTTCCCCACTTGCGTTGCTATTTCAAGCAAAGCATCCACTGCAAAAAAAAAAAAAAAAAAAAAAAAAACAGCTTCAAATCTTGGGGTGGTAAAAAAATGAAAGGCATCTATACCAACTTAAACATGCACATGGTACCTTCATCTGGAGCAAGAAGCCCGGCTTCTGCCTCCAGCTTGATTGCTCCAATGCAAAACATTAGTATCATCAGCATACGTAAGATGAATGTCATCCTCAAAATATCAGAACTGTAGCAACGATGTTCTTTCTCTGTAAGTAATGAACTTTGAACTCTCTCCTTGATGACCATTAACTTTCATAGGCTGGGCTAAGAGGACATTTAAGAGTTGCGTGGGAGTAGTGGTTATTTTTGGTCAATGTTATCCGAGTCTTCTTGAATTTTTTTTTTAATTTTAAAATAATATTTTTTTTATTTTTAAAATTTATTTTTTACATCAAAATAATTTTAAAATATTAAAAACATATATTAATATAAAATAAAACAAATAAAAAAATTTCAATTTTTTTTAAATCTTTTAAAACGAAAAAAACAAACATTTGAATACTCAGAAAATGAAAATGACTTGAGTAATAAGATTTATTCTATTAAAACCTAGCATTGTGTAATTCTAATTCTATATTTTGAATAATTTAGGGAAGAAATTATAATATAATTGTAATTAAGTTCTTAGAAATTTCACAAACAGATTCTATTTCTCTTTCTTATTCTTTAATATTTTCATCCATCTTTTATATTTATTAAAAACATATTTTATTTTTTTACGTGTTTTTTCTTCTTTTTTTTAAAGAATAATTGACTTTATTCTATTCTTCGAACTTCTTCTCTAGATATATCATCATGGGAACTGCTATCATTTATTCAAACTAATTCCTATTTTTTTGTTAGTATGATCTAATTTATTATTACTATATATATATCAGAAAAATAAATATTCTTTTATAATTTACATGATGTACAGCCCATCTATTAAAATTATAATATGTTTAAAGATAATTGAAAAAACCTTAATTTAGTCAATCCCGTCATCAATTATGTATAGTATCTTTTATCAATTTTATTTCAAACATTGTTTATACTATAAAATAAGCCATTATTCAATATTGATGATCAATAATAAATATCGATGATTAATAATAAATTTTGTATAATTTGTAGGGGATTTTTTATTCTCGTTAATTAATCCCTGATCAAGAAAAGCCTCAACAAACCTTATTTTGTTGTTTTGAATTGACTAAAAAATGCTCATCATCTTTCTTGCAAATTATCAGGAATGCAATAATCATAATAATTATAAAAGAGGTAAGAGGTAACACGTAGAGGAAATTTCTCAAGCGTGTTGTATTGGTAAGGATCGAGCTGGAATTTGGAGTGGTACTTCTTTCGTCCTGGCTGCAACAACTGTGCTAAAAATACACGAAAAAACAGCTTTCGAGTCAAATCTAATTATGATACCCTACCGATGCGTCTGAAATTGACGAACATCGTGAAATCAAAAGACGTTCTCTCATAGTTTAGGAATGGGAACGCTCCACACAAATGATGTTTCCTCTGTTTTATTTTTCTGTCAATACTCTTGTATTGCTTCTCTCCATTCCCACGTAATTATGTTGCAGTGCTGCCATACACAATTCAATTTGGAGTCCAAGAATACCCATGCACAGAATAGGAGGAGAATTCAAAATTTGGGGAAGTTCATTGAATTATCTCCAACTCCTGGCAAGAAATTTGCACAGAAAATTCCAAAAGGCAAATAGAAGTCAAGAAATAGAATTTGCTTCTTATATAAATTGCACATGCTTTCTCGAGGCTTGATTTGGACAAGAAAAGGTCAGCATATAAATTTTCTTAAGATCCCACTAAGAGAAATTTGATTTTCGTGAATGAAAATTAATCCAACCATTTATTCATCTTAAAAAAAATTAAACAAAAGACGAGGAAATTTACTTGGAGTCAAAGTCTCCTCTTAGACATGCTAGGTTGGTCAAGGTTTGGGCAACAATTTTCTATTCAGCATAGCCTATAATAAATAGTCATAACAGACATGCAAGCTGAAAAAAGCATCACTACTACTTTTGCTACTCTTTAGTGACAAGAAATGGAATGTCTTTTTGCGTTCCTCCATTATTGTTCTGTCTTGAACTGTTCTTCTCTCTTGCTTTTACTGTAACGATCTCTTAAAGCAGTGTAAAACATGGGTATCGTGAAGTTTCGTGCACGCTATTATTTATTAACTTTATTGTGACGTATTTTACCAAGCACAAAGGAGTCCTTAACTTTAGAATTTATTTTTAAAAAAAATATATTAAAGTTCATTAATGCTTCACGGAGACTTAGCAAGTCAGTCAATACATGATAAAAAAAAAAATACTTAAATCAAACCTAGAAAATATATTTATTTTCTTGTTATTTTTGGATTATTTGCTTGATTTTACTAGTTATTCTCAATTTATTTTAATAGATTTATTTCGCTATTATATAAATAGTCGATGTTTTATTTTTTAAAATAATTGAATTGTTTTTAGAATTTAAAATTAAATAGTCGATGTTTTATATAAATAGTCGATTTTGCTTCAACACACCTTTCTATCAATGGCCATATATATGTCTTGAGACATTGAAATATGTATCGGGTTAGCTGCAGAGTAAAGCAAGGATATTGAAATATGCTTTGTTAATTGTATTATTCTTTAATAAGTATAAAAGGATATGCTTTCTATTCATTTTCAGAATCCATAAAAATATTTTTTTATGATGTTCACTAAAGATTTATATATTAATTTTAAAATTCATAAAATTAATTGTGATACATAAAAATTAAAAATTAACCTGAATATCCACACTAATAATAATAATAATAATTTTTAATTTTAGAATTTATAAAATTAATTGTAATACATAAAAATTAACCTAAATATCCACACTAATAATAAAAAAAAAACATATTCAAATCAAACCAGCGGTTCCTACATGTATATAGACACACCCATCTGCCTTTTCTAGCTTTATTTATTGTGAGTGGTTCCAGATCATTACACTCGTCAATGCAAGTCACTGATTTTACTAGTTATTCTCAATTTATTTTAATAGATTTATTTAGCTAATGTTTTATTTTTTAAAATAATTGAATTTTTTTTACAATTTAAAATTATAATTTTAAAAATTAAAAAACTTTATTTCTTTAGCTTTCTTACAAATACTTCGTAAGAAGTCAGTCAATAATAGTTTTTCAATTCATATACAGTAGAAATTTCCTTTATAAATTCCTAGAAATTTTCGAGCGAAATTAAAGGTCAATGCAAGCAATGTCAAAGATTTTAAAAGAAGGTAAAATTATCAATAGACACTCTCTCCAGCAGTCCCGTAAATGGCAAACTAAGAAGACCATTTCCATGCAATTGTCTAATCTGATACTGTCAAAATCAAATTATGTAAATTTACACCAACCTATTTTCATAGCCTGGCTTCTTCTTTTTTACAAAAAAAAAGACTGATTAGGCGTGTCAAAAATCCCTACACTTATAATACTTCCTTTTTAATTACATTAAAACCTAGAATAATATATATTTTGATTAATTTTAAGGAAGAAATTATAATGTAATTGAAATTAAGTTCTTAGAAATCTTACAAAGAGGTTCTATATCTCTTTCTTGTTCTCTAATATTTTTATCGATGTTTTATATATATTAAAAACATATTTTAATTATTTTTGTGTTTTATTTTTTATTAAGAATATTTTACTTTATTTTATTCTTCGAACTTCTTCTCTATACATATCATAATAGGAACAGGTACTATTTATTCAAACTAATTCCTATTTTTTTGTTATTATCATCTAATTTATTATTACTATGTATATAATAAAAATAAATATTTTTTAATAATTTATATAATATACCGTCCAGTTACATTATCAATTTTAGCCTCAATTTAGTTTCAAAATATATGATACCATCATTATGCGTCTTTTATCAATTTTATCCACATGCTAATCGATATTAAGCTGGAAGTTGGAGTGGTAATTTTGAGGTAGAGGCTGATATCGTATAATTATATAAAAAATATTAATTTTTTTTTAAAATATGATTCAACTATCCTCTAAAATAATTATAATATAGTGGTAAGGTTATTAATACTAAACTAAATTAGATTTTTTTTAACACAATAAAAAAAGAGCCACTATTAACTTCTTCACCATCATCTCCACCACAAAAAGCTAGCACAACCATCAAATAGCTACCACGACTTTTTTTCTCTTCTCATTCTAGTCTTTCTCTTTTTTATGCAAACTTCGTCTTTCTTCACAGTAATAACTTCGGCAGCCAAGCTCTCCATCAGTGCCACCACCAGCCTCTTATCAGCCACCTAGACAGCGGCTCCTTCTTCCCTGCTAGGTTTCCTTTTATTTTTCTCCTCACAGTTTGCAACAGTGTTGTTGCATGCAGAACGTGAACAATATGTTCACATTCTACAAAATAATTAATATTTGGGATGGGTCGGACCCGTTCCAGCGCAACCTAATCCAAATGTTTAGGTCGGGTCCGGCCCACCCAAAAAGAAAAGAAAAAATATTTGGGGGCTGATATCGGCCTAACTTTGTAGACCGATGTTGGCCACCTTTTTCCTTAGGCTGAGCTAAGCTCAGTTATCTGGGCTGAGCCGAGCCAACCCACATATTTTAGTAATATTTAAATTAATATATATAATATTATATCATATATTTTTTTAAAAAAAAATTCTAAAAATTCCAAAAAAAATTTCAAAAATCCTTTATATTTTTTTAAAAAAAAATTCTAAAAATTCAAAAAAATTTCAAAAATTGTTTAAAAAAATTTGTGATTTTTTCAAATATTTTTCTACCAATTTTGCATAATATTGGGTTGTATATTTACACTATAAAATACAAATTTGGTATTAAAATACCTGGTTTTCTCTGAGATATTTCAAAAAAAATTATTTTCATGCATACAATCAAATCCTAAAAATTTTCCAAGCATGTTTTCATTAAAAAAAAATTTATCTTTCTCATGTTTTGAAAACAAATGATCTTTCATTAAAAAAAATTGTATCTTTCTCATGTTTTGAAAACAAGAAAAATGGATACCATAATTAGTTTATGATCATCCATTAAGGTTTGGTCAAACTATCAAAAACCTTTTTCCAATATTTTTTTTTAGGATCTAGATGTAGACTTTAATATTTGTGGGATGTAAAATTACACGATAAAGTACATCTTCAGATATTAAAGATACAAGGTGTAAATAAATATAATGCTAAAATTCAGACTTTAGAACGGCTAGGATTTA